TGGGAGCTGTCCCATTTCCTTCAATAGAAGCCTGATTGGGTGCATACTCTCATTTAGTATTTGTTATGATTATGGCTATGTAGTTTAATTTTTGAATAGTCAAAAGGAAGAAGAAGGTGGAGTGAACCTGCAGATGAAAAATTTAGATGATTCACATGAGCCTCAGTTGTTTGATTTAAATGAAATTTGAATAATTTAAACAATTTATTTTTTTAAATTGAAACTGTTCTCAAAAATAGTATATCTGCATTTACTTTTATGGGGCTTAATTCCATATATGTCTTGCCGTTAAATAACCAATTTAATTCAAATTTGACTAATATAAAAAGCAAGTTTGACTTAGTTTTCTATTGATCATTTGAATTGACACTGTATGACCCTGGAAGTAGTAACATTTAATTTTGTAGGCTTTTCTCTAAATAATCTGACAAATATAGAAAGCAGTTTTGACTTAGTTCTTTATAGGTTTCTTTGTATTAAAACTCTGATCAAGAGAGTAGTAAGTTTGCATTTACTTACCATCTTATTAAGAGAGTTTTAATTTTAATCTTGGAGGGCTTTTTTTTTTTTAAATTATACATGGTTATTAAGGTTAAGTGCGATTTGATTTATAAAAAGGAAATTTTGAGTTCTTTCGTATGGGTTATATTTTTATAAGACAAAATGAAATTCTTGAGCATTGTAAACCTCTTGGTCTAATAGATACTTTATTACTCAAGGTGTTCCAAGTACTTGGTGATGTTAGTGTGTGTGTGTATTTTAGTCCATTACTGCATTGAATATTTATGGAATGTACTTGTCACTTTTTAAGTTACTGTTTTATTGATATAAAAATGTCACCCATGAAAGTAGAATTTTGCCCCTTTTTGCACCAACCTTTTGCACCATGGATGTAAACTGGAAAGAGTTATAAAAACTTTAAGAAGTCTTTAATATGTGGCTGCAAACATGAATCCAGTTATTCCTCTTTATTTGTATAGTTTGCCTACATCGAAGTACGGTTACTCTCAGATATAAGATACCTGTTTTTTGTCCAGTCCTAGGAGGTTCATAGCGCTACAGTACAACACAGTATGGCAACAAATTTAAATTAAATATCCTACATACTTCTGTGGAAATGTTTATAATGATTATCCTGAAGGTGATCATTTTTAGTGAAGAGATGAAAAAAGTCTCACTGCATTTTCCAGTCACTGCTTATTGTTTGCTGTATCAGTGCTAAGGTGGGAATATTTTGGCTTAAGGATGCAACACTGATTTAAATACTACAGTGCTGTACATCTCTCTGGTGATAAGAGTAAAATAGTCCAGAAAAATCACTTCTCAGTTTAATGAGTTACTGATCCAATAAAGATGTGCAAAATTTGGAGAGAAGTCTATCCACTAGTTTTGGCTAGTTCTGAGAGTGGTGATTGTCATGCTGTCTGGAGTGGCTCATGAGTGTGAGTGCCAACCTCAGGGTAGACTATCAAGAAGCAGAGTACAAACTCCAAACTGATGGTATGTTCTATAATTAGATTTCACCAACCCAGTAACAAGTGTGAACTCCTAAAGCACTATAACAGTCTTACCATGGAGTCACAGACAGTCCCCTTGGGCATTCCAATTATTTTACCACCCAGGCAAGCTGGACTAAATGATAGTTGGTTGCTATATTATAACAAAGATATCAAAATACTCATATTGCTCCCAGTCTCACTTACCCAGGTCAATTTGTATCTTAAATCTCACACCAAAGACCATGCTATAATAAACTAACTGAAGATTTATTAACTCGGAAAAGGCAATGAGAGAGTTATTACAAGGTTAGAGCAGACAAGCATATGTACACAAATGAGTTAAAGTCCATGGTTTTAAAAGGTGACAGAGTTGTAGTAATCTGTCAGCTCTGAATATCTTTTAGGGCTAACCCAGGTTGACCCTGGGGATCTCTGCTTCTGTTTCGTAGCTCCGGCCCCTCAGAGTCCAAATGGCAAAAGAGATGAAAAAATTTGTCAGTTATTTTTATTCCCTTCTTCCAGAATTCAAGCTGGTGAGCCCTTTTAGCTTCTTCATGGGTATGAAGGGGCAATTAACAGTCTTCGTATTGTGATGTCCTACAATGACCCATTTAGTTTTGATAGGCCTTCTTGATGGTTAGGAGACAATCCCTCCTGACTGAGCTCACAGTTTCAGAGTAAACTGTTTTTTACAGTCATAAAGCAAAAACTCAAATATTCTTATATTATGTGATAAAGATAGTATAAGTGAGATTAGTGCATGCAGCAACTTACAAACATTTCATAATGCCTAAACACATTGTTTCACTTGTGTTAGTATGGTTAAGATTGGTATCAGACTTAGACTGGTGTACAGCAGTGAATTTGGCTGGGGCTTAAAGACTTGGCAAGAGCTGGCACTTGGTCTGCCAGCCTCACAGTGACTGATCCAAAAACAAAGTTACTTTTGTAACATTTGAGGTTTTAAGTGTAACCTTGTCTTTTAACTTCCAGGCTAGTATTTGCACTCTCTCTCTCTCTCTTGTTGTTGTTGTTGTTCCAATTGCAGTCAATATCCTTTTAAGTTTTGCAGTATTACTTAGACCAGTGGTTCTCCACCTATCTACCATTGTGGGCTGGATCCAATACTACCTGTATGTCCCTGAGGATGTCAAATGGGCCGCGGCTGTGTGCTGATTGGGCCACAAGCTGAGAACCACTGACTTAGACTGTTTCCTTGTTTGAGTGGGATCATCACCCCTCCTGACCCTATAATCTGTTTCTGATTCATAGATGTGGAGACCTTTCTGAAATCTGTCTCTTTGTACATTATTGAAAAGATATAGGTGCTTCAGAGAGAATCTTGATCTTGGTTGATGATCATAGTAAGTGCAGTGGATACAGAAGAAAAGCTCTAGAGGAGCATCCTGTAGAATTTGGTCCACTGTAGTACATTTATACAGTAGGCACTCATCACCAATATATACTTAGGAGGAATTGGATTGTGGATTCAGAGGAACATTGAGTCTGCCTTATGCCTTTGGTAACTGCTGTTTTCACTGCTTTGAGATGAGTTACATTGTGACTTACATTGTGTATTTCTCTGCATCCCAGATGAATAATTGTTTCCTTTTAAACAATGAACTGGGTCGGTTTATCATGAAGCCAGATTCCTCTAGTACTTATCCTGTCTGTAGGGTATCTACTTGAACCATTTATGTGGATGGGTCCTGGACTAGGAGGTCCTCTATAGGAGCAGATATGAATCCCTTTCTGCCTATGCACTAAAATACTTCTTTGTTATGGTTTATATTCCCTTTTATTAGGCAATTTACCCAAAGACTCAGTCACTACTTTTGTCTATAAGCTTCTTCAAAAAGTTTGAAGCATATTGTGCTCCTGCCAGGAGCTGGTTGGATGTGTGTTCCAGGAACAAAACCACATAGGTTTATATTACTGTCAATAGACCTAGCTGAGGAATATAAAGCATCCAGGATAAACAATGTAGCTAGTGATTTGTTTTAGCTTATTTCTAGCTCAAGAGTTTTTGATCTTCTTCGGGAGGAAGTTGGATGATGAGTCTTCTAATGCCAGGCTAGCTCAAGGAAAGCAGATGAATTCTCAGGGGGACATTAGCATTGATGTAGTAGTTGCATTAAGATGAATCCACTCACCTGTCTGTAGACCACGAGAGTCACTGTATAGACTATAAAAAGGAGGACTTGTGGCACCTTAGAGACTAACAAATTTATTTGAGTATAAGCTTTCATGAGCTACAGCTCACTTCATCGGATGCATTCAGTGGAAAATACAGTGGGGAGATTTATATACAGAGAACACAAAACAATGGGTGTTACCATACACACTGTAACGAGAGTCATTACTTAAGGCGAGCTATTACCAGCAGGAGAGCGCGGGGGGGGGGGGGGGGCATTTCCAGTAGTTGACAAGAACGTCTGAGGAACAGCGGGGGGTGGGGGGAATAAACATGGGGAAATGAATTTGAGCTCTCTGTCCATTGTGCGACAGACGTTGAATTTTGCTGGAGTCTCCTGAGGCTTGAAGAGCTGGCATTTCTCAGGCTTTGCTTTATTGTGAGATCTGTGATGTACGAAGGCCTTGGTTCTGATGGTTCTACTGAGGCAGAGGAGAACGGACTTTTGTTTTAGTGACCATTGGTTTGGAGTGGGGGCCCTGCAATCTATGGTATCCTTGGTCAGAGTCTGAAAGAGCCCTTGCCAAAGTTAAGACAATCAGAATGAAAGTAAAAGCCCACCCCCAAAGAAACCTACCATAGTGGATACCAAACCTAAACAAAAACACCTTTTCTCACAAACAGCATTAATTGTGACTCTCCCCTCCCAAAAGCCTGGGTTTTTTTGTTTGTTTTGGTTTTAATCTCTAAAGGCCAACAGTTTAAGGAATTAGTAGGTCCCGCAGCTGAAGGCCTTCCTCATGGTAAGCGTCCTGTCAGCAGGGGTCCCTCCCTTTTGAATGGTTAGCATTCCAGCTCAAGCCCCTCCACTTGAAGCACTTTGGTACGAGGAAAAGGGTAGTCTCTGAAGTAGGCAGGTTCCAAGCCACTGAATACTTTTTACAGGTAAAAATCAATACCGACTGGAAACCAAGTGGTAGCAAGTGCAGGTCACAGAACTCTGGTGTTAGATACTTAAGGTATAATAAACAGGCTACTGCTTTCTGTATGACTTTTGGTTTCCAGGCTGACTTAGGTGCAGCCCCATCAGGAGTTTATGGAATAATCTAATGTTGAGGTGACAAAGGCATGGATCCCAGTAGCAATGTCTTCATCCAAGAAAATCAGTCAGTCTCCTGGCTAGACAAGGATGGGAAAAATGTTCATGGAGGCTGCTGCCATGTGATCATTTTAAGAGCTGTTGGGGATCTAACACAACTCCTAGAATGTGAACAAGTAGTAGAAACAGCACCTCAGCAAGAAGGGCAGGTATAATTCCTTGGTGTATCTAATTGCTTTCCCACATAACTTCAGTCTTATCCCAATAGGCCTTCAGACAGCTAGCTATCATGCATGGCCCAGGTGTTCAACAGTACTGGCTGGGCTGATGTGGAGAGAGCTGGATGTCAACACTGAGCAGGAGGGAGGCAATATGAAATCCTGTGAAACTCCACACAGCAGCAGTCCTAGGAATGAAAAGTAATTGCCTAACACAACCCTGTGGAATTACTCAATAAGGAAAGAATGGAACTGTCCAAGAGCAAGCACTGCCCTGACAGGTACTGCTAAGCAATGTTCTCCTGCTTTGGTGCACACACACAAGCCTGGAATTCCTGGCTGGAACCACCCGAAGAACTACTTCAGTTTCCAGCAAACAAGTAAATCCACTTAGAGGGCGATAGAGTAAAATGGAAGATCATCATCAAAGTAACACCTGGACTAATTTTAGAGAAGCTTTAGATGTCTGCTTTACAAAACTCATGATGTCCATCTGTAACACACAAAGAAAATGTACATCCTTGGATAAAAAAAAAAGGAGAATGCTTCTAATTGAAGCAGCATTACAAAACCCTGTTACCAACATATCTTCTTTAGTAGTGCTGCCATGACAGTACTCTCTGCAGTCTGCAGTGAATTTAAGCGCTTAGCTTGTGAATCTCCAAAGCTGGATGGACCTGAGGCTGCTGTTGTATCCAGACGTGGGTGGAGTGAGCTGTAGTGTGATGTTCTACTGATGGGCATTCCCACCATGGAAAGCCCTGGGACATTTCTCAAAGATGCTATTTTCATGTATTTTGCTTAGAGGCTAAGCCAGGGATGAATGTTTTCAGTGCCAGATTTATTTATTTTTAAAACCCTAATCTGCTCTTTAAAAGAAGCTGTCCTGCTGTGGAATGAGATGGGTTTTTTTGCAGGGAGATAAGGGCTAGGCTGAAGCCCATAACCAACATTAAGGTTTTTACTTCTAACCAACTTTCAAATCTATGAGCGTATGTTGCCTTATTTCCTAGGCTTGGGTAAGTCTGGTTTTGGAAGCCAGAGAATCTCTGAGGTTGGGTTACTGCTCTTAAAGAGAGTATATGCAAGTTACTTTAGAGCTGATAAGCTTTTTGTGGTGCTTGTTCCTTGAAAGCTACTCAGAAAGAATGTTGTCAGTCAGGAGTTAATTTTCTCATCTGTGATAACTGCTGCAGTGTAACCACTGCCACTAAGGAGCTAACATTCACAACTGCTTGCTTTAAACAAAGGGATTTATGTGTATCCACAGATTAATCTAAGCAGCAAATGCTGTGCAGAACAACAATTTTCTTTATAACTTCCCACAGAAAAGCAGCACTGGCTGGGCAAATTGTTAGAAATGTATTCTTTAACTAAACAATAATAAACATAACATGTTCTTGAATCGACTAGGGTGTATGCACATATATATAAATTTTTTCTTTCAATATTCAGGAAAAGTGAATGTCTCCATTTATGACAATAGGCCTGCTTCCTTGGTTAGGTCTTACTGGTGAGAAGGACTTCAGTCTTTTTCTCAGCTATAGAGCCATTTAGTTTCTGCCCTTACAGAACTAAAGACAAATGAAGGGAAAAAATGAATTTGCCTACTCAGGCCTTGTCTACATAGAATCATAGATTTTAAGGTCAGAAGGGACCATTATGATAGTCTAGTCTGACCTGCACAATGCAGGCACAGAATCTCACCCACCAACCCCTGTAACAAACCCCGAACGTATGTCTGAGCTGCTGAAGTCCTCAGGTCGTGGTTTAAAGACTTTAAAGGTACAGGGAATCCTCCAGTAAGTGACCCGTGCCCCACACTGCAGAGGAAGGGAAAGAAACCCCATGGCCTCTGCCAATGTGCCCTGGCGCTTTAGTCCACATGAGAGGGCTGTAAATTTCAGTGCACATGAGCATGTTGTGTGCTAACTAGCCAGTGTGGACTCTGATGGTGCTCACTAAAAGTTCCTTAGTATGTGTGATGTAGCTCTGTTTGAAACAGCACTATGTTAACCTGCATCATGTAGAGAAGCTCTCAGATTGTCTATACAATTAAGATTGAGTGGAGAGGCCAAAAATATGTTTAGCAGAAAGGGGAACGAAGTTAACAGTTGACAGCAAAGGTAACCTTGAAGAAAAATTCTAGTGTTTTTCAGAATAGCACTTTCAGTGATAGAGGAAGTGTATGGATGGGGGAATAGAGTCCAGTTTTGAGGCTGCTACCTTAAGCTGCAGGACACTGCGCTATCTTGCCTCCTTCTTCCCCTTCCAGACTGAGGTGGCAGGAGGCTGCATTCACATGGTTACTGGGACAGACCAAAGTCCAGAATCCTGTCTTCCAACAGTGGCCAATGACAGGTGCGATGGCTGTGTCAGCCTTGGCTCCCTGCCCACCCATGGGATCTGTCTAAGTGAGGGGGAATAGGCCAAGCTAGATTGGGGGAACTCAGTTAAGCCAGTTGTGGGGATGTAACCTGTTGGCAGTCCAAAAGTTTCTCCTCTGGGGTTTAGGAATAGGGAGTAATCTTAGCAGTAGGGGTGAGAACTGGATTGGGAGGGGAGTAAGGAAAACTGTAATAGGGTCATTAGTGGGCTGGATTGCCCACTAGTTAATGCCCACCCACTTGCAGGGGCAGTGGTAGGGGAGCCTGGGCTCTGACCCAGGGCTCTAGTGGGGTCAAGAGTTGCTAGGGCTTCCTTCTTGATAACTAAGTAGACTACCTCCGATAGAAACAACTTCCTGCTAAGAGAGAGAACAGGGTGTTCTCCTCCTACAGGTTCCTGAGATAACACTGCTCTGTGTCTGACATCAAACAGTCTGTTTGGAGATTAAAGAGCTTTGAGAAGTCTGGGTGGAATAGTACTGGTTCCCAGGTCAACCGGTCTTGTAGTGTCCTGATCACCTTGTCACAGCTTTTGGGCTACTGGACCCTTTTGCGTGCAGTGTCTTTTACCATGTCTATCAAAGAGGCAACAACGATGGCGGTTTGGTATGAACCGTTGATAGCACGCTGCTGTTCCCCGAAACTGCTGTACTTGCCTCTTGGTGGAACGGATGGGCAACCTGCTAAGGCCTGAACTTGGTCCACCAAAAGTCATAGCCACCCCTTCCTCCCCACCACAGCATACCCCAGGGCAGGTGACTTCTGGGGTGGCGAGTTAACACTTGGTTGGGGTAGTTGTCAACAGTAGCGTAGCCGGGTGGGGAGCGTCTTTTAAGTTTTAGGCGCCTTTTTTTATTTTTACTCACCCGGCAGCGCTCCGGCTCGGCGGGGACCTTCACTCGCTCCCAGTCCTCGGCAGCAGGGGCCTTCAGTGCCCCTGAGGATCTGGAGCGCCACCCGGTGAGTAAAAGCAGGTGGCACCTTTTTTTGCACCTCTCTGAGAGCCTGTAATACTGCCATCATGTGCTTCATGTGTTCAGCTCAGCTTTCGCTGTAGATTATGTCAATGTAGTATGCCCCGTGTGGCCGTACTATCCATCAGTTGCTGGAAAGTGGCAGTGGCCCCATAACATTTAAACTGGTACAGCCTTCATGGTGTGGAGAACGTGCTTTTTTTTCCCCTTTAGATTCAGGTGTCCAGGGGATTTGCCAGTTTCCCTTGGTCAAGGTTCAATATTTACTTAGTGGGTCAACCCTAAACATGGGGTATGCACTGAATTTTGAAATGGTGTTTATCTTTCAGAAGTTGATACAGAACTGTCACCCCATCCAGCTGGGATTCCTCCACTCTATGTGACTCTTTGATAACTCCCTAGTTCTATCATGGCCTGGAGTTCCTGGTGAACAGTCTCCCACATATTCCTTGGGAATGGCCATGGGCTCTCATGTGTCTTCCTCCCTTGTTTGGCATCTATGTGATGGAATATCAGGTGGGTTCACCCGGGTACCGCTGAAAACACCTTGGCGAATCACCAACTGGCAAATTTGTCACTCTGATTCAGGCTGCAGACCCTTTCCTACAGGTACTGAGACAGCCTTATGGTGCTGTGGCCTGAGATTCCAAGCTCTGGCCTGGGGAAGAAACTGGGTGACAAGGAGGCCCTCTTATCCTTTCCAGACCTTCAACAAGTTGATGTGATACACCTGGGTAGACTGCCTTTACCCAGGTTGCTGGATCTCATAATCAACCTCACCAACCCATTTCACCACTCTGAATTGGCCTTGGCATCAAGCCAAGAATTTGGATTCTGAGGTTGGCAGCTGGAGTAACATTCGGTCTCCGGGCTGGAACTTGTGTAGTTGGGCCGTTTTGTTATAGGCTTCTTGCTGTGTGTATTGTGCCTTCTGTATGTTTTCTCTTGTGAACTCCCCCAGGGTCTTCAACTTGTCCTACAGCTGTATAACACATCACGGTGTTGTTCGTCCTGGTGCATTGCTCTTCCCGTTTCCTGGAGGAAGTCCATAATTCCCCTTGTCTGCCTCCCATATAGTAATTGAAATGGGGAGAACCTTGTGGATGGTGAACAGGAGAGTGGGGATCAGGCGGTCCCCGTGTCAGGGTTTGGTGGTCACAAACTTTTTCAGCATGTTCTTCAATGTTTTGTTAAACTACTTGACCAGCCCATCAGATTGTGGAAGGCACACTGACATCTTTAAGGACTTGACCTTCATTAGGTCACACAGCTCCATCAGTTGTGAGGTGAAATTTGTCCTTGGTCTGTCAATATTTCTTTCAGGTTCCCCATCCCGGCAAATACTTTTGGAGTTCAGTAGCAATGACAGCCACTGTTGCTGACTGGATGAGAATGGCCTGGGGGGATCTGGCGGCATAGTCCAAGACTACAAGTATGCATTTGTGCCCTGCTGCGGACTTCTCTAACAGGCTCATCATGTTTATACCTATTCGCTTGAAGGGCACTCTCACAATGGGTAGTGTTAGCTGGGGGACCGTCTTTTGGCCCTTCCACTGGCATTCTGGGCATAAGGCACAATAGTCTCCCATCTCCAGGTGGATGCCTGGCCAGTAGAATCTCAGGGTCACCCATCAAGCATCTTCTCTCTTCACAAGTGACCCCCATTGTATTGGCTGTATTGGACAACTGTAGTACCCTCCTTTGAAACTTCCTCAGTACTAGGAGTTGCATTCTGACCTTTCCCATTCTAGGATCCTTCATTGCCCGGTATGCCCTCTCACCTATTCAAAATGGGGCCACTGTTTCCACAGCTGGGGGTCCAGTAGTTTGCTGTCTGCACAGGCAAGCTGCTCATAAACCTCTTTCAGTGTGGGGTTGTTTGTTTGTTAGTCCACAAAGTCCCCCTCATTAAAAAGTAGGTCTTCAGCAAACTATGGCAGCGGCAAGCCCCTATGGCCCCAGTTGGATCAGGGGACATATCCGGCACCCATGGGGAGGGTCTTTCTTCATCTTCCTTTGATCCCCCTTCTTTCCAAGGCTCCCTCTTGGCCACTGCAGCTGTTTCCTGCCTTCTTGGGTCTTCCAGCTCCACTTTCTCCAATGAAGTGCCTGCCACTCTTTGACGAACTTCCATTCATGCCCAAGTATGACCCAACAGGGCAGGTCTTTTGCCACTGCAGCCTGTAATGTTTCCATGTGTTCTTGCATGGTCAGCCGTACGTCTCTCATTGGGTAGGGTCAGATGTCCCCATAGATATCCTGGAGGTCAATTTACATCCTCAGCTTTACTTCCTGTCCCCCCTAGCCTCTCCCAGACTAAGATCTGGCTACAGCCTGAGTCTATCAGCCCCTGTACAGACACTCCATTTGCTTGTATAGGGACCAACATCTTCCCAGGGCCCCTATTTCAAGCTCTATTATTGGCTGTCCAGGCCTGCCCATAATTACAATCCACCAACAAGCAGTCCTTTCTGAAATATTCTTGCTGACCACATGCAAAACAGCTCCGAAAAGGAGGAGTTAGTTATTCATTAGGTTCTCCCAAGGGAGGGAAATCCCCTTGGATAAGATTACTTGGCCCAGCCAGGCAGGGCTCTCCTGGTTATTAGGGGTGGATTTGCATGTTTTTCTCTTAGCTTTTGTGCGCATGCATGTCCCCCGCCCCCACTAAGGTTGTACATCCAAGTTCTCCCAGTTACCCGTTGGTGTTCGCTTATCAGTGCTCCTGGAGGACTCAGGGCACATAGGACTGACTTTCGGTGTTTCAGCCTCTGGCCCAAGAAACATCAGGTAATTCTCTGACAATACTGCTTCTGCCAATGTTTCTGGGCGATATCTCACAACCCATTTGCATCCCCCCACTGGAAGGATTCAGGCAAACTGTTCTCTGACCACCTTTTCTGTCACCTGAACCCTAGTACATCCCTCTGGCTGGAGCCATTGCTAGCAGTGTTCCGTCAGGCTCTGAGTGACTACCCGTGGCCGGGGGGGAAGAGACTTCTCAAAGCAGAACTGTTGATGGTAGGTTTCTAGTGAGATATTTAAGGTGTCCATGATGACTGCTTTGACATACAGCAAACAGCCATTACCTATGACTAATGACTCAGACGATCAGAAATGATTCTGAAGTTTAACACTTCAGGCAGTGAGGAAATTAAGGTTTTGCCTATTGAGAGAGATAGGGGATCCTTTATTTTTGCACCTCTGTAACCTAGGTAAGAAGGTGGGGGAAGGACAGATGTATATGGAAAGGATTGAAACGATAAACTGCCTAAAACTTTGTGCCCAGAACTATTCAAGGTGTTCAGAAAACAAACTGTTTTACCTGAATCAGTTTCAGAATGGCTTTACAAGCTGTACTATTTTTAGCTCTCCCGTGTTGGTACCTGACTTGACTTGCTAAAGTGCAGACCATCTATTTTCAGGTCTAACTCAAGTACTTGCAAGATGGCAACAACAGCACTTAGAAGCTGTTTTGCATGTGATGCATGAAAATACTTCCTTTTTATTCAGTTGCAGTTTCATGTCTAAAAATGATGCTGCACTAAAGGGACCTGATAAGATACTAGAGTTCCCTCAGATACAATAATTTCAAAGAGTATCCCTGCAGGATTATTGTAGTAGAAAATGGGAGTAAAGTTTACATTTCAGACTCTTTGCAGCATTAAATAGTTCTTGCCAGTATTCCAGAACAGATTTCAAAATTATGTTGTGACTCCTTTGAGAAAAATACAATGGACACCATTCCAAACTGCCCTTGAGGAGCATCTTATTGGTAAATGTAACAGGTCTGTTAATGGATGCCTTAGACTGAGCATCTGTAATTTCTTTTTCCTGTAGGTGTGTTGCCCTTGTGTTGAATAATGTTTTTCAAAAACTGGCGAGCTCATATTATAAACACACGTCAGACTCGTTAGTCCTAAAACTTGTCAGTTGGCTTGTGTTAGGTTAGGTGACTACAAACTGGAGATCTGTGGATATTTCTTTAATAAAAAAGAAACTTAACACAAATGATATAAATTATAATGCCAAAATCAATCTAAATTTACTTGCCTTCCAAAAACAGAGTTCAATTGGAGATCCTAATCTTCAGTAACTAAAAAAGCTGTCAGGTCAGAGAAGACACCGAGCTGCTGTGGCTTAGTCTTCCTGTTTTAACTCACCTTTATGTTTGAGGTGGAAGCGTTTACAGCACGTGTGAATTCATAACATTTGTATTAGCTATTGGATTATATTTGCCAAGACAATGAAAAATAAGAGAAAGTATTGATTTTTGAGAGAGCACAGTTAATCAGCTAAAAGAAAATATAAAAACAAAACTGATTTTGTTGCACCATAGGCAGTTGGTATGAACATGCAGAAATTAAGCGACACAGACAATTTCACAGCAAAAAGCAATCAATTTCATCAGTAGGTTTTAGTCAACAATTGTATGTAAAAGTCTACCCAAATAATACATAGGAATATAAAACAACAAATATGCAAGTTCTTAACTAAGGGGTTGGAAGATTTTCAGATTTAAATGACAGCCACGTAAACAGTTAAAAGTTTAATTTTTTATTTTAAAAATTGTCTTAAAGGATTTGCTGTGAGCCTTCAAGTGATTCTGTCAAACCCTAAAGCTGTATTCAAACGCCGTGGGTCTCAACCAGGAATGCAAGAATCTGATTTTCTGAACCAGATAACAACTGTGGAGGAGCTGGAACCAAAAGCAAACAATTGCACAAAGGTACTAATTCCACTACCATTGCAGAGTACTTACAGCTCTCTTTGTAGATTACCTAATACTGCACTAATTAACCTTCTGTTTTTTAGGTTCTTGTATGGCACACTCGAACAGAAAAGGTAAATCTAGGTAATGAGCCAAAATACCACCTAGACACAGTTAAAATTGAGGTATGATCTGGAGATATAACTGTGTGGGACATACTGTATAGGAAATGGATGTGGCTGAAGATGCCTGACTTCAGTCAATTAAGAATTCAAGCAGCGTACAATCTACCACTCTGCAACATCCTGCACTAGTCATCTGATGGACTTCTGTGCAAACAAAAATTTGTCAGATAAGCAAATCTGATATCTTAAGAGACATAACATCTTTTGTCTTGTTTTGCATGCATTTCTCAGCTCGGTATCACTGAACTGAAATATAAGCATTTGTTTTAAGAGTTTCCACATAGTAATACCAATCAAGACTGAAACAACTGAAGTGCAACATTTTCAAAAACGAGGAGTCCTTGTGGCACCTTACACGGCTACCACGCTGAAACATTTTCAAAAACATTTATCCAACTTAATTGATGGAATTATTATAAACTGGTTTTAGATCGCAAAATACTAGTCACCAGAAATATTTGTTAAAAGCGTTTTTCTTGTATTAAACAACTTTCTTGAAGTCACTGTGACAAGGTAAATCATACAGTATGAAATAAAAACCACAAAATGGTTTATGGCTTTATCTTTTTAATATAGGGAAATAACATTTTATCAATACGAGGCACCATAAAATGTAAACACAATTACTGTCAAACCTGGATATATCTGCAAGGACAAAAAGTATCCGTATGTGATGAGTTACCCTGTATGCATATTGTGCAATAAGTTCTTTATATTAGCACTATGTATACACGTATGGAGCCAAATTGCATGTTTTGTCACAGGAAACTCAAATGGATCAAATATTCATGTTTTAAAAGAATAAACTAAAAATGTGTGGAACTACAGTAATATCCAGGTTTATCTTGCTTTCACTAACCATGTTCCCTGTTAAGCACACCATAGTAACATCACAGTGAAATGAATGATAAAACACAGTATGTTTGATACATTAAAAACATTATTCAGTGATACATTTACATTCTATTTATATGATTAAACATTTGGTTCATACAGTACCTTCTACAAGGATTACTGGGTAATTTGGGGGGCAAGGTTTATATATTTAGAGATATTACTAACATGATAGCTACGTCCCTTATAGGCAAACGTTTGATCTATAATTTTAAGAAAAAAATTGAGTATGCAATTGGTAAAGCAGCTTCTTGATATGGTTTATGAAATCATATGTACTGGAATATGAAAGAGCTGCCAATGATATATAAATGTATTTTCAATCTGCTTTCCACCACATCAAATTTAAATCAATACAGACCACAACATGGTCAGTTAGATAACTTCTTAATGTGAACAACTGGGAGAAAAGAAAAAGAATAAATGCATTTGAGCAAGGAATGTCAAGTGACTGTTCTGCATGAAACTTCTGTTGCAATTTTCATTTCCACAGTTGTGTGCTGAGAGTCTGACCCGAAGAGCTTCCTGTCCATCCTGCCACTGTATTGGGGGGCTGGCCAAAGCCCATCACATTGCTGGAACTATTGAGATTCATGCCAGCCATTTGCTGATTCATCTGTGAAATGCACACACAATTCTAGTTAGTACTGGTGTTAAAGCACACACACTTTTTATCAGCTTGAAACAGTAAAAGGGTTCCTAAACTAGGTAAATATAATGTGAGGGAACAAAATGGTCGATTAATTTAAACCAGCAAGCAGGAAACCTTGATTTAGCTACTTGATTTTAGTGATTTAAATCAATCGTATTTTGCATTTGTACTTTATTTTCCTAAAGAAAGGCTGATTCTTATTAGTTGATAACTATTACAACATGTTATTTGCAGCTAAGTATAGCGTTGTGCTAAATATGGTACTTTTTTTGGCTAAGCAGCAAGATATAGTGTATCTATACATATTTAAACAATTATATAGATTAACTCACCTTTAGAGTCTTAATTTTTACATTTTATGTTAGAAAATGGTGAATGATTTATTAATTAGATGATGAATAATATTTTATTTGTGATTATGTCAAGCTATATTTGGATGGAAATTCAAATATACAAAAACAGCATTTTAATTTTTTTATTAATCAAACGACCTTAAAAAGTACTGGCTACACAGGCACCGGCTTCCTCCAGGCCCCAGGGGTGCTCAACCCCCCCAATGCCGCTGCCTCTTCCCACCCCCATCCCACCTCTTCCTGCCCAGTTCTGCCCCCTCCCCCGAGCACATCCCATCCCCGCTCCTCCTGCACACCTTGGAACAGCTGATCATGGTGGGCAGGAGGTGTTGGGAGAGGGGGAGCTGGCTGCCGATGGGTGCTCCAGCCATGGGTCACCCTCGGAGTCAGCACCTATGGCTGGCTATATAAGAAAAAAACAAGTTTATTTTGCATTTAAAATTAACTGAGGTGTACCTACTGTCCTGCTTGAGCACAGGGGACTGGGCTACATGGTTCCTTCTAGCCCTACATTTCTGACTACAATTTATGAAACACAGGAAGAACTATCTGCAATTACTCAATTGAACTGATTTTGGTCACCATGTCCTTTAAGTTTTTATAACTAGTAGATCTTGTCCTCACACACCTAATTTTTATTCATAGATTGGAAAAGGAAAACAAGCTTTCCTGCTTTTTCAACTCCCAACTGGTCTCTTAACTTTGAATAAACTAATCATTAAAATGAACTAGTTGAATAAACTGAAAACAAACATTCTCATTGCAGAAGAGGCCACTGCTGTCAAAAGCTGGTTTAGCACATCTACAAAGTCTGCTTCCAGGTGTTTGGCCAGTCAGGAGAAAGCAAGGCAAGAATCGTGTATTGCTTAATACTGTCTTTTATCACTAAATATTTGTAACTGGAGAGGAATGATAAAATAACTACCTTGCTCCTTACATCTATAACGAAAACATGAAGTGTACTTTAATGGGTTATATAGATTTATTTAATTACGTTAATTTGTAATGTTCTGGTCAGTTTTGCAATCTGAAAATATTAAGGTAAACAGCTATTTTTATATTGATTCTTGAAAATTACTGCGAATTAATTACCTTGGTAGAAGGTAAGCAGTATTCTTATCACCTGCCTAAAATGACTAATTTTTTGGATCATTATCCTAAAATTAAATGAAAGGTGGTAACTGGATGTCCTTTTTAATTAGTTAAACCTTTTTTGTGAATTAGTCTGTCAAATTTTTAAGAAATGAACTATGAATGATCAGGCTTTACAGAGAGTTTTCTGCAGACAGAGGCTAAAGATTTTTTAAAAAGTATTCTCCATCCAAATTTTAAAATCATGTTTGCAATGTGATACTGAATTTCTAATTGTATCTGTTTGTGGGGAGTGAAGGCTCTTGAGTATTTCAGATCTTTTATGAATCGAGTTGTCTATCTCTCATTTGCTGATCAAGGAAAGTGCAGTACAGGAACTCCTCGCTTAACGTCGTCCCGGTTAACGTTGTTTCGTTCTTACGTTGCTGATCATTTAGGGAACATGCTTGTTTAAAGTTGTGCAATGCTCCCTTCTAATGTCATCTGGCAGCCACCTGCTTTGTCCACTGCTTGCAGGAAGAGCAGCCCATTGCAGCTAGCTGGTGGGGGCTTAGAACCAGGGTGGACCGGCAGCCCCCCATCAGCTCCCTGCTCCCCTAAGTTCCCTATGCAGCAGCTGCCAGCAGGCTATCAATTGCCAACAGTTCAGCTGTCCCTCCCCTCACTGCTGTGTGCTGCTCCTGGGAGCCTCCTGCTTGCTGTTTGGGGGTGGGGGGTAGAGGAAGGGGAAGGGCAGGGGGGCTAATGTCAGAGTGTCCCCCTCCCCCTTGCACTCTGCTTACCCCTTCTCCATATAGAGCAGGCTGGGGACATGGACAGAGAGAGACAGAGAGCTTGGGGCAGCAGCTGCTGTCAACTTCCTGATCCACTTAAAAATGACATCAGCTTACTTAAAGGGGCAGTGCGCATCTCCCTCTCCTTCACACACAGGGTGTGTATCTGTCTCTTGTTTGCCATGCTTGCTGTGTCACTTCCCTCCATTCCTGCTGCCTTGTAGTGTGAGGCTACATCAACAACGTGTTAACCCTTGAGGGCTCAGCCAAAAGCTAGTTCATCATTTATCAGTAAGGCATTTCCTGGGAAATATCCCACCCTCTTACACCCTCTCACTTCACCACCTCAACCAAGCTTCACAATCATCATCGCTGTGTACAGTATTAAATTGTTAAACTTCTACTGTGTGGGGAAATTGGATTCGCTTAACATCGTTTCACTTAAAGTTGCATTTTTCAGGAACGTAACTACATCCTTAAGTAAGGAGTTCCTTATCTCATATTCTTGAATGTGCTTTATGATCTAGAGATACAGAACGCTGACTTTCTCCTTTTCATGAACTATTAAAAAACAAACCTATCCAACAGACTGTTTTTAAACCAGAAAGGAAGGCATTATTTTATTTACATACAAAAGCCTGTGATTTTTCAACTATATTTTATATAAATTTATTAGCAAAATGTTTGTGCAGAATTTGCACATGCCACAAAAATTACTTGAGAAACAAATATTTAGCTATAATTATTGGTACATTATATACAATTATGTACAAATCTTTTCATTTTTTAAAAATGTCCTGTTCCCAGAAAACCCCTACTTGGAAAAATGCAAGCTGGTTTGGAACTTTTTTTTGAGACAAGTATTCTGAACTTATTTTTTAGAAAATGATACAATTGTAAGATTTGACTTATAAGCAAAAAATATTTTATACCCTAACAGGATGGATAAAAATAAATTATTTTAAAAATATGATTTTTTAAAAATATAAATTAAATACAAGGTTTTTTAATAAAAATATTTATCAGAATTTCAAATTTAATTTTAATGTATGTTGACGCCTACAATTAACATGATAGATTAAAATCATTTACATTAAATACAAAATGAATGATTATGCTGTACATGTTTAGCCCCTTAAACTTCCAACAAAAACAAAAATTCATTTAGATATAAAAATTAACATTTCTCTTGAAATATTTGCTTTTAGAATGTTACACTGAATTGCTTTAATCAGTAGTCCCCAAACTGTGGGGTACACCCTTCTTGGGGGGATAGAAGTACATTGGTGGGGGCACGTGGCAGGGCCTGGGCCAGCCCTCATGGGGCTTAGTGAGGGAGTACCACCAAGCCCTACTCTACTCCCAGCCCAGCCCTACCCTCATTCCCTCTCTACCCCCATCCTGTTCTGCCCCCAGCTTCGCTGTCAGCCCAAGCTCCTCTGCTGTGGAAGCTTTGGCTGTGCGATAATGGTGTGTGTGTGTGTGTGTGTGTGTGGACAGATTCCCTTACTGATAAGGGGGGGGCGGGACAGGAAAAGTTTGGCACCACTGGCAAAAACAGTAGTGAGCGCACACATCAATGCTCTTTATAATTGTTACTACAGTGGAACCTTTAAACGTGTTTAATCAAAATAAAAAAAAGTGTAAAGTATCTTCAGATTATATGGTTAGACTAACTATTATTCAACTACAGTACAGAGTCAGGGCACAAACACAAGCAGTAATGTGCATCCTCCACTAAAGCCTACTTTAAAGTATCTCATTTGAAGGTCCAGATGAATGGCAAATAGCCATTCTCATTGGGTATAAGTTCTGTGCTCACCTACATCCGTGCAATACCATTAAAATGAATGGAGTTGCACACATACAACTGATTGGAGAATCTGGCTCCATGAATTGGGCAACAGAGGTTAATACACAGTAACACAGAAATTGTGGTATTTGTGGTCATTTTAAAGTACATTGTTCAATTTGTTCTAGGAGCTGGTTAAACTGCACTCAAAATTAATGCTGGTTTCTTTACTCTTTAGAATCATAGAGTATCAGGGTTGGAAGGGACCTCAGGAGGTCATCTAGTCCAACTCCCTGCTCAAAGCAGGACCAATCCCCAACTAAATCATCCCAGCCAGGGCTTTGTCAAACCTGACCTTGAAAACCTCTAAGGAAGGAGTTTCCACCACCTCCCTAGGTGACCCATTCCGGTGCTTCACCACGCTCCTAGTGAAATAGTTTTTCCTAACATCCAACCTAAACCTCCACCACTGCAACTTGAGACCATTACTCCTTGTTCTGTCATCTGGTATCACTGAGAAAAAGTGTAGATCCATCCTCTTTGGAACCCCCTTTCAGGTAGTTGAAAGCAGCTATCAAATCCCCCCTCATTCTTCTCTTCCACAGACTAAACATTCCCAGTTCCCTCAGCCTCTCCTCATAAGTCGTGTTCCAGTCCCCTAATCATTTTTGTTGCCCTCCACTGGACTCTTTCCAATTTTTCCACATCCTTCTTGAAGTGTGGGGCCCAAAACTGGACACAGTACTCCAGATGAGGCCTCACTAATGTTGAATAGAGGGGAAAGATCATGTCCCTCGATCTGCTGGCAATGCCCCTAATTATACAGCCCAAAATGCCGTTAACCTTCTTGACAACAAGGGCACACTGTTGACTCATATCCAGCTTCTCATCCACTGTAACCCCTAGGTCCTTTTCTGCAGAACTGCTGCCTAGCCATTCGGTCCCTAGTCTGTAGCAGTGCATGGGATTCCTCTGTCCTAAGTGAAGGACTCTGCACTTGTCCTTGAACCTCACCAGATTTCTTTAGGCCCAATCCTCTAATTTGTCTAGATCCTCTGTATCCTATCCCTACCCTCCAGCGTATCTACCACTCCCCCCAGTTTAGTGTCATCTGCAGACTTGCTGAGGGTGCAGTCCACGCCATCCTCCAGATCATTAATAAAGATATTGAACAAAACCAGCCCCAGGACCGACCTTTGGGGCACTCCGCTTGATACCGGCTGCCAACTAGACATGGAGCCATTGATCACTACCCCTTGAGCCCGATGATCTAGCTGGCTTTCTATCCTGATGATGATGATGATTATTTTGTATGTGATAGAATACATTTAGTTTAAATGTATCACATCTGTAATACTATGCTGCCGTCTCAGACATGGAAGAAACAGTTTCAAGTCACAGGGTCAACAGCAGAGCAGAGCTACATACAGCTTTCCCAGTATAGCTGAACTCCTAGTATGTGGAAAACAAATGATTTTATTCAAAAAACAGTAACTTTTATCCAATATAAGGGCAAAAAAATCCTCACCTGAGAGATGTTCCATTGAGCTTGTTGATTTTGTTGCATGCCATATTTATTTTGTGCAGTAACCATTTGTCCCACCATTCCTCCTTGGGGTCCAACGACATTTTGAGGAAGTCCCATCACACCAGTTTGTGTAGTGCCAGTGAAACCATTGGGCATTCCCATGCCCACCATCATACCTGTGTTCTGTCCTATGACAGGCACTGATTGTCCCATCATATTTCCCATCATTCCAGCAGCTGCAGGCACAGGTACTCCCATAGGTGGAAAACCTTGAAAATGAGTTGATGGTTGTGTGGTAAATGGCATGGAAGAAGATCCCATGAACATACCTGCATTTTGGAAGCGGGGGGGTGGGGGGGGGGAGAGAAGGAGGAACAGAAAGTAAGAAAAATAATTTTTACTGATTTTTTTCCCCCTAATGTTTGAACCACTAAATGCCAGTTTTAGAAGATAATTTGTAGAGTTGATTCTGTCCACACTATGCTACACAAAATCAGTGTCTGGCAAAACTGAGAAAGTGATAAGAAAGAGTGGTGTAACAACAAAAAATGGCACAATAAGTAACAGTTTAACTGCCAAAGCTGAGTTCTGCAGCCTCAGAGCCAAATTTTTTTCTCATTTGCACCAGCACCTCTTATCTCAGTCACACTACTGAAAATTAGTGGATTCCCACCAGTTTACTGAGATCAAAACATGACTCTTTGTAATGATTTAGGCAGTCTGCTGTTCACATACTGAGGAATCTCATTGCATACCCAAGTAATGAATGATTGTACAACAAAAGTAGTATCAAATCATAAAAATTAGGATGATGATGATGATTTTGTATGTGATAGTTTATAATATGAGAACAGCTGTAACATCTAATAAAATAAAATCAGTCTGAATCCTGTACTACTTTTTCTTCTAGTCTTAATGCTTCATTCATTTTAACTTTTCAGCTGTGAAAATGGTAAGAACAAATAAATCCACTTGAATATACATAAGTAAGGACAAATGTGCTTAATTTTATGTTGACAGGAGATTATAACTACTATATATTCTAAACACTGATTAAAAACTGAATCACTCTGGAAACAGGTTTGAAAATTAATTACCTGGAGCATTTTGCTGCTGCATGGTCCCAGTGCCATACAGTGATAAGATGGAGTCTTTGGAGAGTTGTTTCTTTGCTGACTCTTCTGATTTTGTTGTTTGCTCAGTGAACAGATCAAGATCCCCAGATGCAGCAGATAAGGTGGCAGCTGTTGGTTTAGTGGAAGTGCTCTGGGAAATAAAGGTCAAAACAGACAGGCTTATTGAATGAAACTACCAGTGGAAATTATATCAGATTAAGAGCTATGCATTCTCATTCCTAAACTAAATTAAAAGCAATGTAGTTATTAAATTAGTTATACGTGAATCAGTATTTTAGAATGTGTAATATTACCACAAAGAAACCCAAATACTTGCCAATGTGTAGCATCTGCAAGGAGGACCAATTCAGGTTAACACAAGCAGCAAAAATGACCGTGAGTGAATTTGTGCTCATATACATTGGTTACACAACTCTTGCTTTTCCTAAATTTTCCATCTGTGGATAGCATACTTCATAAAATGAAATTAAATGATGAAAAATCATTAAGAAACTAAGAAGGACGTTACAATTTCACATTTTTCATTAATCCTCAGAGAGGAAATTAGATAGGAACTAAAACAAAAGCTTTTCACAGTGTTGGAAGACATTACCTTGTTTAAAATAGCTTCTTTACTCTAAGGCCTGGTCTACACCGGGGGGGGGGGGGGGGCATTGATCTAAGATACGCAACTTCAGCTACGAGAATAGCATAGCTGAAGTCAACGTATCTTAGATCGACTTAGAATCACTTACTTTGCGTCCTCGCGGCGCGGGATCGACAGCGGCCGCTCCCCCATCGACTCCGCTTCCGCCTCTCACCGTGGAGGAGTTCTGGAGTCGACGGCAGAGCGAGCGGGGATCGATTTATTGTGTCTACACTAGACGCAATAAATTGATCCCTGATAGATCGATCACTACCCGCCAATGCGACGGGAAGCGTAGACATGGCCTAAGAATATTGGGCAATAGAATTTTACGCTAAATTATAAGTAACATATCTTCTCTGAAATATGTTGCCTGTGAATTGTTGCTTGATATTTTCACATCTGGAAAACTGACTTTTGGACAGTTAAGATGCCATCACTAAGCAAATAAACACTATCTCGAGTTTCATAAACCTCTAGTCTACCTTCAATCTTTCTCAGCCTTATTACTTTTTAATTAATGCTTTATAAACAAATTACATGAAGATGGCTTCCAGGTTCTACTATTCTGTTACTGATACACAAATAATATGGTTCCTTGCCTCTGGTATCTGAATAGACAACATATTGTCTTTATACAACATAATCCTCTACCAGAATGATACTCTGAGTATCACAGCTAAATGCAAGGTGGAACAGACTGTTTAGCATAAGTAGTTAGAACATATTTTAAAGAGCCATTCAACACCATAAACACCCCTGCACATATAGGGCAAAAAACGGGATGTATGGCTTATTACAACAATCTGTAACCCACTAACTGCATTTTTTTGTCCTATGATAGCGGAGATCTTAACAGCCCACTCTGCCTTGAATGGTCCCTTACAATATGTGCTAACTACTTATGCTAAACAACCTGTTCCACCTTGCATTTAGCTGTGACGCTTTGAGTACCTTTTCCAAACCTGAAGAAGCACTCTGTGTGGCTTGAAAGTTTGTCTTTCTAACCAGCAGAAGCTGGTCCAATAAAAGATATTACCTCACCCACCTTATATCTTGGAATCGACACAGCTACAACTATGTGACATACATGTTACGTGTAAGGAGTCCAATAACATGGGTTGCTATAGAGGCATTTGCAGTTCCTTTCCAGATTTAATGTGAAGTACCTATTTCTCTAATTATTGTTATTACTACCTCTTGATCTCCCACTACAGCTTGTTGTATACCCACAGATGATGTGACTTTTTTGACATTCTTTTAAATAAACGAGCAATAATAGTCTGTCATGAGTTGCTGTCTCCTCCTCTCATCACTGTATTGGGAAAATTCCCCTTCTTCTGATAATAAAGAATTGAGGGAGAGAAATGCTACAAAGAGCCTATCTTCTTGCCTTTGGATTTCTCTGGCTTGCACTTTTTTGGGTGTCTGTCTCTGTTAAATTTGAAGATAATGATAATGTGCTAAATCATTTACTTGAACTAAATCACTTACTCCCAGAAAATCCAATCTCTCCTTACTGAAAGTTAAGTTGAAATAATTGTTTGAATCAGACTTTGGAATTTGTCACATTTATAAGACCCGTTAGCGTCGCTATGCTCAGAAAGGTTAAAATTCAGGAAATCGGTTAAATTTGGCTTAAATGCTTCTCCTTATGTAGTTTTTAATCATCAAATAGCAAATCTCTTCTGTAATGATTTGGAGAAATAGGACATAGCACATTTAAGAGGATGTCTCCCTTTCTTGAATGCTGGGAGGCTGTAAGGAGATCTGTTGGATGCTGAGGAAATAAAAGGAGCTCTAGGAGTCTCTACAGGGCCACTGCTAGCAGTAAGCACAAGCAGACAGAATTCTTGACAGAACCCTAATCATCTCTGTGACCACCCATACTGGCTAGATCCCTGTAGGAGAACATACGTCCAGTGTTCCCATGGCAAAATAGCTTACCCCAAACTGGGAAGGTAAAGTCTGCGTCAGCAGTGTTTAAGGAGCCGCTGGTGGTAGATGCTGGAGCCACTCCACTGTGAAGTGCTGCAGGAGAAAGTAGTGCTAATGCTACTTTTCCCCTGTTCCGTGGTACTGTCTGCAGCCTCTTCCTTCAGAAACAGGACTTGCTAGGTATGGAACCAAGGGTCTCCTGTTGCCTGCTCCACCAACTTGGCACAGCCTGTGCCAGGCACGAACTATGGGATCAGTTTACCTAGGATGACTGGAGAGGGACCTGGCCCATCCTCAGTTGTCTGGGCTCTGCTCCTTCTGCCAGGGACCCAGCAAAGCAGGCAGATTGTCCCTTCAAGGAGGGCTCTACATGCAGAGCACTTTCTGGTTTTCTTCTCGTATCACCTCTCCCGCCTTACATCTTACAGCATCATGGATTGTGAGGACAGGGATTACCTTGGATGATCAAGTCCCTCACTGAGTGTGACATGCTAAAAATCACCATTTCCCTTCTCTCACTTGTTTTCCTCAGGAAAATTTTTGCTACATGTCAAAATTACTGAACATTTTAAAGAGCCGAGCCCATGCTACTGTCAGAGTAGCAGCAGACACATACCCCAGCATCCCATTCTCTGAAGGGCACCACGTGGGGCAGAAGCTCACTCATCTCCCAGGGGGGCGAAATTGAGTCAGGCTCTCTCCATAACTGCTACCCTACTCCCCACCCAAACTCAGCATATGGCCTTGTTATCCCATTGCCTTCACACAACCTGGGATTCCCACATGGGACCCCTCCTTATTTTGGGGCAGGAGAGGGATGCAGTCGAGCGTCGGGCCAGGCTTGGTTCCCTCCCAGATCCAGCAGTTCATCCCCACTCTGTGATAACAGCCTTCTCCTGCTGCCAGCTAATGTAATTAGCCCCCAAAGTCAAAGATCCATCCATTTAAAGAAGTATTTTACTGAAAATTGTGCATTTATAAAAAAGAAATTCATTAAAAGTATGTTTCAAATGAATCTATAAAGCCATATTAAAAAACAAAACATCCTCAACCAGTAACAACAACAGACTACAGAAAATAGTAAGAAAAAAACTCATTAGAGTCATGTCCATTCTTTCCCTTCCAAAATTAGGTAAATAGTCAGCAGATGGTGAATGATACTGCTTTTCACATCTAGCTCACCAGATAAAATGCATGACTGCTCTGTGATCACAAGTTGTTGACATCTGGTGACAGCTTAGTTGTCTACATATCATCAGATGGCGTTCTTTGTCTAGTTCTTAGTGCAAGAAATCCACATGACAAGAACTGGGACAACCCACACCCTCGTTGGCAATCTCAGAAGGGCCGAAGACTGAATGGGCATAGAGAAAAACTAATCTCTCTTACTGTGTATCATTGATCTCTCTAGTTCTGGTTAAGATGTTAGTAAGACAGTGTGGAAAAGCTTGTCCTAATGCTATATCTGTACTTAATAAAAGACAGATGATTTCAGTCTAAAATTTGGTCTGGCATTTTTCACAAACGAAATTCAATAAGGAGGAAAACAACATGCAATTACACCTTTCTAAAGTTTACCTGAGCAGGAGATACAGAAGCTGCTGGCAAAGGATTAGAGATCATTGGGCCAAAGATATCCAAGTCATCGTTCAGTGTTGTTACAGTCGTGGTGCTTCCATTTGTAACAGGTGCTTCAGGAGGACCATCTTAAAAAGACAATGGATTCAAGTTTTTAAGTGGAAACCTCTATTAAAACAAGAATTTAATAATTGTAAAATATGAATATATAAATCAAATCACTTAAATTGTCATTGCTTAAAAAAATACTCAGTGTTGGAAGCAAATCTCTGAAATACAATATCTCAGATCCACAAAATTCCAAAAGGACTTTTCTAATTTGAAAAGTACATTATATCAATATAATTAAGAACTGAACATTTTAAATACAGTTTTAAGAGTTCCATAATGGCATCTGAGCCCTGGTCTACACCTTGGGCTGGGGGGTGGAGGGGGTAGGAGATTGATCGAAGTTACGCAACTTCAGCTACGTGAATAATGTAGCTGAAGTCGATGTTCTTAGATCGACTTACCGTGGTGTCTTCACCGCGGTGAGTAGACTGCTGCCGTTCCCCCCTTGACTCCACCTGCACCTCTCGTGGAGATGGAATACAGGAGTCGACGGGAGAGCGCTTGGGGGTAGATTTACCACGTCTAGGCTAGACGTGATAAATCGATCCCCGCTGGATCGATCGCTGCCCGCCGATCAAGTGGGTAGTGTAGACATACCCTTAATCAGTTTAATGGAATAGTTTTGCAAGCATTTTCACAATTTTAGTCCAACACTCACTAGCACTATAGTATTATGAATGGGAATTTAATAGTTATCCCATCTAGCTACCAAAGTTTTGGGCTACTCAACATGAGAGCTATCAAATACATTAATTTGAACTACTCGGGGTAATTAAATATTTGACAATGCTTGAAGTTACTTCCTACAACTGGTTTCTGAGAAGGAACACAAAACCAGCCTGGGACTCCTAGAGAAGAAGAAACATACTGTATAGGTCATTGGACAAGCAAAGGTTAAAGAAAGAAATATTTCGAAAGGACTTTTCTAATTTACAGTGCCATATTTATTCAAAATATCGACTACATTCTTCACATGAAGAAAGAAGATTTTTTTTTTTTTTTTTTTTTAGAATGAGCGATATTTATTTCTATAGAAGTAGATGTGTACATTGTGCCTGACAGCCACAAAATAACATGGTCACTGACCTGTCCAGAGCTTACAATCTATGGCCCTGGAACTTATCAATACTTATATACATGTGTGAATTTACTCATCTGAGTAAAGCTGTGCATACACGAATGTGTTTCGAGGATTAAGGTCCAAATTAGATAATCCTGGAAGATGATGGAAGTTGGAAGAAAGTGTAACAAAATCATGCTGTATAAACATTTTAATTTTTTCCCCACATTTAATAACTGATTTTCTAGTAACTGCTATATGTGTAGACATGTGAGTGTGTAGGCTACATCTTACAGAAAATATGGCCATAAATCAATTGTTATTTTTACTCCTAGCAGAGTTCAGGATTATGACATTGATGAGACTATACCAAATTAAAACACGGACATTACTGTTAATATAAACAGTGACTGTGGAGAAAGGTATGTTCCCAAAAGTAGACAATTATGCAAAAATATGGTTGACATTTTTGGACCACCTACAGATTGTTTTGCATCAAATTTTACATCATTATTTAGAAAAAATGGAAAGAATATGTGACAGCAGAATACACATTACACCATATAATAAGAAATTATTAACTTTCTTACACTGAACTTGGTAGGAAAATAATATGAAGTTGAATGGATGGGTTTCATGGAACTTTATGCTGGCTACACTTTATACAAAAAACTTAAGAGGCAGATCTAGAAAGTATTTTGTGTAGAATAAGAAAGGAATCAGTCTGGGAGTATCCCTCACTGAGGGCAGAAGCAAAGACTCCTCTGGTTAGGGCACTGAAGGGCTATACACCTAATCAAAATGGCCAAAAGACTACAGCATTATCGAACTGCAGATGTGGCTGTACAGATTAAAACCATTAGACTAAAATAATAAATTACAAGGACAATAAATAGGGCCCTACCAATTTAACGGCCATGAAAAACGTGTCCCGGACCATGAAATAAGCCCTATAAAATCCAATCTCCCTGTGCTGCTGGGAGTGTCTCAGCCTGGAGCTCCTGGCTCCAAGTCCCAGCTGGGCTTGGGAGGGACAGGACTTGTCCTTTTGCTCCACAGCTGCTCTCAGGGGGAGATCAGACCCACCTCTGGGTACCTCCCCCTGCTGCAGAAAGCTCCGGGGCTGGGCAGCAGTCCCGGAGGCTCCTGTAACCCGAGGAGGCTTCTGGAGATGGAGGTGGGTTCAATCTCCCCCATGTTGCTGGGAGCGCACTTCCTCTTTCCCTGCACAGCTGCTCTTGGATACCTCTCCTGGCTACAGATAGCTCCACACCCCCTCCTCGCCACTCACTTCTTGTCCCCATTGCTTCAAAGCCGGGCGCATTGGGCGGTGGGGGGGAGGAGGGATCATTGTACAGGGAACTGCCCCCCTTCCAGATGCAATTATTAGCTTGTTTCAATAAAAATAAAAAGAAGGTCAAGAACTTAACAGAATTTTTTGATTGACACTTTACAGCAGCAAATCAGTCACTCACTGATTGGTAGATATGACCATCTGAGGCAGTTTTCTAAGACAGTGATCTCAATTGGTAGCCTCAAACTTGAGAACCACTGCTTTAAGTTAACAAAAGCAAGTGGGGGGGGGGGGGAAGAAGGAAATAAAAGGTCAAATGGTTTCAAATGTCATTAATTGAATGTCAGCATGGAGCATCTAGGTGGGGCGCTCCCAGCAGCATGGGGGTGATGAGATCCACCTCCACCTCCCAGATCCTCCTGCAACTCTGTGGCTGCTGCATTCAGAGCCTAGCTCTGAAGACAGCACAGACGTGAGGGTGGCAATCGCAACCCCCCTGCAACAGGTTTGCGACACACACCCCGCAACTCCTTTTGGTCAAGACCTCCACGATTACAACCCGAGAAATTTCAAATGTATACAGCTGAAAACATGAAATTGACCAATTTTCAAATCTTTTGGCTGTGAAATTGACCAGAATGGACCATGAATTTGGTATGGCCCTAATGATAAATAAGATTAACACTGTTCTAGCTCAATTAAGTTTATTTGATTCCTTTATTTTATTTCAATATTGGCTCTGAATATATTTTTCCCTTAACCTGTTTCAGTTGCTGTGTCTATTGTACCCCTGTAAATTAGCCCAGTAATAGTGTTGTTTTCTCTGAGTAACTGAACTTTTTATCTACATTTTCCCACTGCCCTGTGAAGACTATTTTAAAAGGGAAATATCAAATTATTAGTTATATGTTCTGTGGCAATGCCCAAAGATCCTGTTAGGACTATTGTAAGGGGCCTTGTACAAACATGCAAGGTGATACATTCCTTGACTTTTAGAATTTACAATCTAGTTTAAGAGAAGATGCAACAAACAATAAGATGGAGGGTGAAAGAGTAATGATATTAGATAGTCAAAAATGTTCACAAGTTCTTGATTTTAAACATTTACTTTAAAAATGGTAAACAAAGCCCAATATTAAGTCATACGTAAAATTTATTTGCCTATTTTACCATTAACACCTCTGAGTTTTAATACGGCAATTTTAGCAATCTTATATTCTTTTCACTGTTTACATTATGTATTTTTCTCTCAGCTTGGACTATAAAAATCATGCAAGTCAGTTTTCAGATTCTCAATGCGCCAACATATGCGTTGCAAACAATGCAGTTTATTTCATAATACTATCCTCAGCAATGTTTAAAAACAGGGAATGTCCCTTTAAATAACTACAGTTACATAACAGGAAGAGATATGGCATGGCCACTTTTGAAGGACACTATTCAAAGAACATTCAAGAGATGTGACTATTGCCCTGGAAAGTTTAAAACAAATATTATAATGTAGACTAGGCCCCAAATACTACTGCAATACAAACATAATAATAATACCTATCAATCAGCAGAAAATGCTTATTATAATAAGCATATGAAGTTTAACTTCCCCTGGAGTTGAGAAGGGGGGAAGAAAACTGGGAGTAGAATAAATTGGTTCACGTGGAACGCAAACAACTGTGGGCAGAAACTTGAAAAAAGGCCTGAGAGTAACCCAAGGCTTTATGAAACAATGTATAAGGAACTGCTATGAAGGTTTGAATCTCTTGTACCCTTTGAGCTGACATAGTGGCTACTAAAAAAGCAGTCTTCATTGACAAGTAGTTTAAACAACAAGTGGCAAAGGGCTCAGAAAGGAGGGACCCATAAACCCTGTTAATACTATATAGAGGTCTCAAGAGAAGCAAAACATGAATAAGGACCTTAAGGATTCTAGCCACTTTAAGGTGAGAAAATAAAGTGTAGCCCTGGATAGAAGGGTGATGTGAAGATATCGCTGCTAATTGGACCCTTATGGAACTAACAGAATGTCCAGATGGTTTCAGGGCTAGTAAACAGCTCAATATTGCTGAAAATCCATGTGGCCAAGGGAGACAGCTTGTGCTGGAATGCCCAAATAGAAAACCTCTTTCACTTAGCTTTATAAGCAAATTTAGTCAAGACTTTCCATTTTTTTGAGCAGACTGTTCTGAACTTCAGCTGAACAGCTTCTTCCACTGGATGTCAGCCAGCCACCATCCAGGCTGTCAGCTGTAACAACGCTGAGTCCTGGTTTCCTGAAAGTAAGAGAGTAGATGCCAAAGGTGGTGTTCGTGGGGTGGAAGGGAAGGGATCCTCGAACATTTCTGTCAGGCTCTTCATCTTCCATCAGACAGCAGTTTTGGTACCAGTGTGAAGACTGTGCAGCAATGGAGGAAGAGGTGGAAGGTCACTGTCGATGGAACCTGGATGGCTCCAAGGTCCTCTGAGGCTGATAATAGTACTGGGAAGAGGGATGCTGCTTTAAGGAAGCACATGGTCTCACTTGTTTCCTTCTTGGGGCTGGAATGTACAGGCCCAAAGAATACAGAGTTGCCCAGAAGACCTCAACAAATTGACAGTCTGTTTTAGAATTAAAAAGTTAATTACCTTCAAAGGGAAGGTTCTCTGTTGTAGTTTGGACCTCCCTGAGA